GCATCAGCCAGGATGGCTTTTCAAAGGGGGAGACTTTGACATAGGTTTGCTGTTAAGGTCAAATTTTCTCCTCCCGTGGGAAAAAATTTATTTTTAAAATATTTTCTTCACTGCTATTTAATATGGACACTTGTTTCCAACAGTTACAATCAACAACAAAAGCAATAAAAATGACCCAACAGGCATTGTAAGGGCCAATGGGTATTTTGAGAAAAACATTCTTCTTGATACCATAATTTCATTACTGAAAGCAACCATTAAAAACAAACATTTTTATTGATTTCAGAGAGGAAGGGAAGAGGGAGAGAGACAGAAACAGCAATGATGAAAGAGAATCACAGATCAGGTGCCTCCTGCATGCCTCCTCCTGGGGGTCAAGCCAGCAACCCAGGCATGTGCCCTGACTGGGAATCGAACCATGACTTCCTAGTTCAGTGATGGCGAACCTATGACACAACACGCATGTCAGAGGTGACACGCGAACTCATTTTTTTGGTTGATTTTTCTTTGTTAAATGGCATTTAAATATATAAAATAAATATCAAAATTATAAATCTTTGTTTTACTATGGTTGCAAATATCAAAAAATTTCTATATGTGACACAGCACCAGAGTTAAGTTAGGGTTTTTCAAAATGCTGACATGCGGAGCTCAAAAGGTTCGTCATCATTGTCCTAGTTCATAGGTCAATGCTCAACCACTGAGCCACACCAGTTGCGCCAGTAATCAACATTTAAAAATAAAAATTTTTAAATGAACCCTGGGAAAACAAAAACTGATTTTAGAGTAAGAAAATAATGTATACCTCAAGATATAAATTCAGTGCCTAGTAGATTTGTCTCAGTGGATAAAGTGCCTGCCTGCAGTCCGAAGGGTCCCAGGTTCGATTATGGTCAAAGGAACGTACCTTGGTTGCAGGCTCCTCCCCTGCCTGGGCCCTGGAGGCAACCAATCAGTGTGTTTCTCTCTCTTTTCCTCTCTCCTAAAATCAATGGAAAAATATCTTCGGGCGAGATTACCAACCATCCCATCCCCCCAAAAAAGATATAAATTCAGCGATAGAGGGATTCTCCAAAGACCTATAGTTCTTAAAAATTCCCATTTCAATAACATTCTGAATTAACCACAAAGTAAAATCTCAAAGCACAGAAATAAGAGGCTGAGGGAACCCCATACCTTAACCCCTTCCCCAACAATTTTTTTGTTAAAAACGTTTCTTTTTCAGACTAATTTTTTTATTTTGGTTCTATATAGTATTTTTGATGCTGGTTATGAAAACAGTTTGTAACTCGTCTTCCTATAAACCATATTTTTTTACCATATTTTCTTAGTATACTCGTCGACGACTGAAAAAGAACATTTTGTGAAAACGAGTATACACGTTTCTGCCGGGGAAGGGGTTAACTTGGTGCCTCCAGCCCAGTATCCAATTCAATACAAATCCATGGAAAAGATAAGGAATTTCAGAAACTCCAAGATAAACTTGAGAGCCAGGCAAATTTTTAAATTTAAAAATCTGAATGATAACACAACAGAGTACTTGTCTTTAATGTTTTATATTCAATTTTCCCTTTCCACACAAAATTTAATTACAATTCCTTCTTCTCCAGCTCCCCCCCCCCCAAATCTCTATTTATGCTATTAAATACATGAATTGGCACCCACAGGGCTCAAAATGAAGGTGCGCACGTCCCATGAAGTTCCACATACTGTCTCAAGACAGGCTCTGTCCCATCTCCTATTCCTTGGAGTTCAAGGACAGAAATGTGCTCACTGAAAATCCAAAGCATCCATACTGTCTTTGAGCTTCTATATAGATATGAACTGGGTACCAATTCTATTCTTTTAAAAACAAAAACTTTAATTAAAATTTATAAACTCCAAGGAAGGAAATTTCTTCAGGAGTCTTTAGGTCAGAAATACCTTAAGTACCTGATAAATTCCTGATTTAATAAAAAATAACTCTTCTGCCCTAACGGGTTTGGCTCAGTGGATAGAGCATCGGCCTGCGGACTCAAAGGTCCCAGGTTCGATTCTGGTCAAGGGCATGTACCTGGGTTGCAGGCACATCCCCAGTAAGGAGCGCGCAGGAGGCAGCTAATCGATGTTTCTCTCTCATCAATGTTTCTAACTCTCTATCCCTCTCCCTTCCTCCCTGGAAAAAAATCAACAAAATATATTTTTAAAAAATTTAAAAACAAAAAAACTCTTCTGCTTTATACGTCTAACTCAAATGGAAAATAACTACTAAGCCCTGGCCGGTTTTGCTCAGTGGATAGAGCATCAGCCTGCAAACTCAAGGGTTCCAGGTTCGATTCCGGTCAAGGGCATGTACCTTAGTTGTGGGCACATCCCCAGTAGGGGATGTGCAGGAGGCAGCTGATCGATGTTTCTCTCTCATTGATGTTTCTAACTCTCTATCCCTCTCCCTTCCTCTCTGTAAAAAATCAATAAAATATAAAAAAGAAAATAACTACTAATTGAAGTATATCCTAATTCCTCAGTATTACCCTTAACATATTAAGTAGTTGCAAATACTTTCATTTTTCTCACAAGCAACATAAAGACTCTGGGAAGAATTCAAAAGCAGCATTAGAAGGCCATTAAAAGGCATTCAGCGTAACCGCTTACTCACAAGGAGTACAGGAGAAGGCCAACCTGAAGAACAGCCAAACCTTTCACCTGTGTCAGGTCGGATATTAAGTTCTGAATTAAACTTCTCAGCTAAATCAGGTATTTTCACTGCCAGTGTCCAATGCAGGAAGTCCTCTTTTACCCAAGTAACATATTTTCAGTCTTGCAAGAATTAATTCCTCACAAGAGTTTCCAGCTTGAGAATTAGCCTGACCCCTCTTCTTTGGTTACAACAGTTTTCAATATGTGTGCTGCAAGAATTTTTAAAACATGCAATACCTGACTACTAGTCAGAGGCACTGATCTCTTTTTCCTTAGATTGTCAAATAAAAAAATGACAGTCAACACAATAGTTGTCCGATGTGAATGAATCAAAATTATACTTATTTTTGGTTCAGATTGGTAAAAAACATTTTTGGCATGGTGCAGAATTTTGGTAATAAGTTTATGTGTGCCATTACATGAAAAGGGTTGAAATCGCTGGACTAAGATAGTGTCCCAAACTGGGCATCACTCCAAAGACGGCCTATCTCCTACTGCTGAATGGAATGAGGCTCTCCTCTCCCTATCTTTCTCACTCTGGAATACGGAGTGATATTTCCATTAAAAACATGAGATTACCTCACATTTTTGTTGGCCACAACTGAGAATAACTTATAAAAATGATAATTAACATTTACTGCCTTCCAGGCACTGTTGTAGTACTCTCCATATTTTAATACATGTAATACTCTTGGATACTACTGTTACCTACTGATGGTGAGACTGAGGCACTTTAAGATAAATACCTGCCCAAAAGAGCCAGTGATGAGGGAGGACTCAAAGCCAGGCACCCCGGTTTTCCCAATCCATGCTCTCAGTAAGGTGCTACATTATCTCCACACATAGGCACTGTTCCAGGAACTACTGCAAGTTAAAGGACCATCTCATTTAATCTTACAACAATCCCATAAAAATAATCCCAAGGCTCTGAAAGATCACTGGAATATCTTCTGTACCAATAAAAGGATCAAACTTAGTAATACCTTGCATCTGGATTCTATAAATAAATAAATAAATAAATAAATAAACAAACCAACCAACCCGTACATCTTAGATGCTAAAGGTTGCTATCCTGTATAATCCCATACAATAAAAGGCTAATATGCAAATAAACTGAACGGTGAAACAACCAGAACAACTGGTTGCTATGATGTGCACTGACCACAAGGGGGCGTGTGTGGAACATGGCGGGCGTTGGCCACAGTGCGATGGTGGAGCAGGTGAGTGGGGGCGCCAGACCAAGGTGGGGCACTGCTGGTCACTGTCATTGGGGTGAGCCTCTGGTGGTTACTGAAAATTCTCTGCTCCTGTGCCACAGTCCTGCCTGGTGCTTACACCTGCTGCCGGTCCCGATCACTCGGTGCCATCAGCTGGTGCTAGCAGCAGCTACTGGCCCTGATCACCTGAAGGCTTCTCCACCTTCCCCTGTTCTTGAGGGGCAATCAGGGCAGCAGCCATGGCTTGCACCCGCTGACACCACTGGCCCCGCTCATGCCCGCTGCTGGTGCTGGCCCCAATTGCTCTGTGCTGTCAGCAGGTGCGAGTGGAACCAGTGCTATCAGTGTGTGGGAGACCAGTGCTCAGTGTGTGGGAGCGTCAGTGTGTGGGAGCGGCGGGAGTGGGGCTGCCAGCAGACAGAGGACCGGGGCCATGGGGGGAGGGGCCAGGCGGGGCGCAAGGAGGATGGGCCAAGACCCGCCCCAAGGCCTACTGCAGCCTTGTGGCCCACAGTTCCTTTCAAGGTGCACGAATTTGTGCACTGGGCCCCTAGTGTACAATAAAGATAAGTTTGCCTAACCAGTTTTTTTTAAAATATATTTTTATTGATTTTTTACAGAGAGGAAGGGAGAGGGATAGAGAGTTAGAAACATCGACGAGAGAGAGACATCAATCAGCTGCCTCCTGCACACGCCCCAATGGGGATGTGCCCGCAACCAAGGTACATGCCCTTGACCGGAATCAAACCTGGGACCCTTCAGTCTGCAGGCCGATGCTCTTATCCACTGAGCCAAACCAGTTAGGGCCTAACCAGTTTTTTATGCCTGAATTTTCTCTTCAACTACTAATGCAAAACATGTTTTCCAAACACGAGGTATTAGAAAAAGGCCCTACCTCTCCACCACACTCCTGGACCACAGTAACAGTTGAGGGTGTAAGTTCCATTTTCCTTTATGCTCATGTACTTGAGTATGTTGAGCAAAAGACATCCTGGACATCACTCATTCACAGGGTCACCAGAAGTCGGAGCCAACTCAAGAGCATTTTAGCACCC